GGAGGGAGAGAGAGAGAGAGAGAGAGAGAGAGACAGAGAGAGAGAGAGAGAGAGGGCCTATTTTGTATTTCATTTCAGGTAAGGACTTGTCGTCTTCAGCTCTGAGGATTCCCCAGACAGTGTCTGCTAATAAAATCAGCTTTATGGCTTCGAGAAGGAATAGCAACCTCGGAGGGGGGGGGGGGGCATTTAAGGGAGGAGAAACCATGGCCGACAGACTCCCCGCGAATGCAAAAGGTCCATAAAGAGGTTTTTGCTTTCCTCCTTGGTTAGCAGGGGTCCTTGGTGCCCTCTGAGCTTGGCTGTTTTTTTGCAGACGTTTCATGACCCAACTAGATAACCTCATCAGTACTAGAAAGGAGTGGAGTTTGTAGAGGTAAAGGAGAGGAGGAGGAGGAGGAGGAGGACCTAATTGAAAGTAACAGTTTCCCCTTTCCCCTCAAGTCACTGGCCACGCTGTCCAATCCGGGGGCCGGCTGGTTGCTAGGTTACCGGCTCCTCCTCAGGTCTGCCACCTGTGAGAATGTCCTTGGCTCCCACAGGAGAACGTCACTGTTTTGGCTCTAAAAACCCATCTATCTATTTCCTCCCTTCCCACGGCTGCGTGGCAGCCCTGAAGCCTCCAAGGTGGCTTCGGCCAGGCTCACTTCAGGGTTGACAATGGAAAGCTGGCTCTGTGGAGGGAATGAGACTCACTCCTTGCCAGAATAAATAACCCTTCGTTCCAGTTGTTCATTTTTACAAGGGTTGTGTTCAGCCACTAAATCAGGTTAATTAAAAATCGGCGGCGGTTTGTTCTGGAGAGGCTGAGGATTAACGCGAAGAGAGCGTGCGTCAGGCCTGGACTGCCAAGGCGTCGCTGGAGCGGACAAGATTCTGGCAACGGGGCCTCTCTTTGGGCTGTATTTATAGAAACCGGCCATGCCGAGTGCTAATAGGGACTTGAGCCGAGAGGAAAACCAGCAGAGGTGGACGTCACATAATATAACTGTCAGGTTTCCGAAAGATGCCCTAATTAATTCATGAGCCTCGAGCCACGTTTCAAAAGAAATCCAGTCATTTATTAGGAACAACATTTCGGCAATACCCCAGCAGAGTCAGATCTGACCCTACGTAAGTTAAGGCTGAACTCTGCTCCTGTTTCCCCCGCCCCCCCCCGCTCAGTCTGTGTCATAAATCACATTATCCAACAAGGTGCTCCAGCAGGCTATAGAATTCCACGCCTCACAAGCCCGCTGTAGTAATCTGAGATCGGACTCTAGCCGAAGATATGCATGGAATGCGCTCCCCCCCTTTCCTCACCATGGCAACTCGATGACAGACACGGAAATGCTTGATGAGTTGACAGTAACAATCGGTTCGTCCAGAACCGAAAATGTGAACGTACGCCTCCACGCATCAAACACACGGCGATTATATAGGACGGAATAGTGCCGGGGTGAGTAGACGGGCCCAGCCGTCAGAACTACTAGTTCACCCGAACCGGTCCGACCAGCAACAGCCCACTTCTGAAAACCAGGCACAGTTGCTAACGGGATGGCAGATCCGGGAT